CCATTTGTTCTGATATCTAAGTAGCAGGTTTTCCCTTGGGGAGGAGTGGGGCAAGGGGGAAGCTGCTTGGACCCATGCCTAGAAAGTGAGGGTCAAGCAGAAAACCTCTGAGACACACTCTTAAGAAAATGCAGGGGGGATACTAAACTGAGCAGTTGCCAACCTAATAGCCTTCTCTCGGAACTGTTGCATGGGAAAGGGAGAGCTGCCCCTTAACTGATCGTTTCTAAGTTCTAGGCTGGGGGCAGAAGTAATTCAATAAATCACATGCAGAACTGAAATAATATATTGTAAAATTCTGAATAATCATTTTTCAAAACAGTTTGCAACAAGTCTGTTATTTATAATGTAATGCTTTAACTCTTCATCTTGGGAAGGTCAGTGCTTTTATTCCTGCATGTACACACACATGTGGCAACTGGAATTAGTCTAGGCAAGTAGGACACTTGGGGCAGCTCTTGGTGCCAGGGCTATGTTTGGTCCTGGTCCCTGCCTTTGCCCTTGTTCTCTTTCACCTCAGAAATCTACCATAAAAACTCCTGGACTGTTTAACCTTTTAAAAAGAAAGACGTCTTTAATCCCATTGGGACCTCACGTAGCAAAAAGATGCTTGCACTGTCTTATCTGTCTTTTATATCTCATGTTTTAATGTGTTCTGTGTCTTAACTTTATGGTTTGTTTGGCGCCTGGGATGTTATGGCAGAGAGGCGCCAAATAAACAAAATTTATGATGATGATGTGGATTTCAAGTACTAGGGAAGGTGGAGACAATTTGGTACTATACGTATAACTGATATAATGTTCATTTGACGCCTTGTGAAACCCTGGCGATAAAGCAGTATCTGGAGCAAGTGTCTTAGTAACTTGCTAAAGAAGTCAAAATATAAATATTGATTTACAGGACTTCACATATAGCAGAATGTGTGTTTAGGTCTTGTGGAATGCTCACTGCTTTCTCCAGAAAAAATATTCTAAATATGTAGTACAAGGTTAGTTTTTCAAGTTAGTTTTCCAAACTCCCTCCCTCTCTGTTTCATGCCTTCAGTTTGTATGGCACCTTTAGAGAGTTGCATTGGCAACATACATAGGCTAATAATAATAATAATAATAATAATAATAATAATAATAATAAATTTTATTTATACCCCACCCTTCCCAGGGTGGCTAACACCAGGTATAAAAACAATTGATTAAAGTACAACTTAAAAACAAGATTAAGTACATTAAAATGCAGCCTCATTTCAATAGAAACACAAATCAAAAACTCTGTCTTACAGGCCCTGCGGAAAGAAATCGGATCCTGCAGAACCCTGATCTCATGAGACAGTGTGTTCCACCAGGCCAGGGCCAGTGTTGAAAAAGCCCTGGCTCTGGTTGAGGCTATTCTGACTTCCTTAGGGCCCGGGACCTCTAGGGTGTTGCTATTTATTGACCTTAAGGTCCTCCGCGGGGCATACTGGGAGAGGCGGTCCTAGGAGTACGAGGGTCCTAGGCCATCCTCTGCATCCAGTCCCAAGAAGGTTATAATTTAAGATGGACAATGGAGAGTAACAGAAGGTAGGGGAGAATGGAAATAAATGCTACCACTCATACACGGGGAGAAAGGTGGCGCCATGTACACTGAGACGCTTCCTCTTGATGGTGACAGTGGGCAAGAAAGGAGGAAGTTGTTTAAGGGAGCAGAAAAGCTTTGGTAATGCAAAGTTGGAAGAGCAGAAGTCACCGGGCAGAACAACAAACAAGGGGAGGAAGGCAGTTGGACTAGATGACTCTCGGGGTTGTGTCCAACTCTACAATTCTATGATTGTTAAGTAATTGCATTTTATTGCATTGTATTATATTTTATATGTAAATCCCTTTGATAATTCATCAGCGAAGTGAAAAGCAGTATATGAATTCTCTAAATTAAAATGAATTAGGGCTGGGGAAACAGTTAGGATGTCATTAATTCAACCCATCTTAGGTCTGTGCAGAACCTCCTTGTGTGCTCTGGTCCATAAATTGAGGACCAAAGCTCTAGGTGACATCACGAGTACAAAAGCTTAATGCTGTTTTGTGCAAGTTCACTTTCACATGCTAGTCATAATAGCGAGTGGAGTCCACACCAGCCCCAATCCCCCTCTTTTCTTCCCAATTCTGTGTTGCATGCAACACTAATGTCTCACAAAAAATGAAACCGATTTGTAGAAAAGACAACCTGAAAAAAGACAATGCACATGCTTTTGTAAATTAAGAAGTCTTTAATAATGCCCACCCCCACCCCCAGGCAATCTTGCCCCTGCTTGCATCAAATGAAAAAGAAAAAAATAATAGCTGGTGGAGCCCATTCTCAAAACTGCCTAGTCCAACCTTTTGCATATAAAGCAAAGCTGCTCTCGTGAAACTTTTGATTAAGGCTGATTATTATCCTTATTTACTACTGCCAAGGTTGGGTACAACTGTGATACTTCTAAATGCACATATATAGGATTCCATTGTTAGTTTGCTTTTCATTTGACCAGTTTAATCTCCAGAGGTCATTTATTTGCAAGATGGTTTCCTTAAAACTTCAAAACTGATAGTGGCATTTGAGCAATATAAGAATGCAAGCCCCAGCCACTTTAGACAATGAATGCTGGCATTTACCAATGCTCAAGGTGAGAATTTATCTTGCATTGAGGGTCACTAATATAAGACTTGGGGGGGGGGGGGAGGCCAGTCAGCTAAAGATTAGGAATTTACAAACAGCTCTGAATGAAAGGGACTTGAAATGACAGTCCATCTCAATAGTGTTGCCTTTGACAATTTAGGAAAGCAGTTTGAAGGACTGCAAATTGACTACTTCACGTAGTTCAACATGTACTCTACTGGTGGGTTTGTGTGTGCTTTTAGTAAGAGCTAGTAAGTAGACTTATTTCTTTAAACTGCCATAATGTGAGAGGAGTGTGAGATGCAACTTCCAGAGAAGTAGTCATGGCAACCTGTTGCAGCAAAAAACAACAGAGTCCTAACACATTTATGATGACAGAGATTTGGGCCAAGAAAAGTAAAGAGTAAAGGGAGCCCTGACCATTAGGTCCAGTCATGGACGACTCTGGGGTTGCAGTGCTTATCTCGCTTTATTGGCCGAGGGAGCCGGCATTCGTCCTCAGACAGCTTCCGGGTCATGTGGCCAGCATGACTAAGCCGCTTCTGGCGAACCAGAGCAGCGCACGGAAACACCGTTTACCTTCCCGCCGAAGCGGTACCTATTTATCTACTTGCACTTTGACGTGCTTTCGAACTGCTAGGTTGGCAGGAGCAGGGACTGAGCAACATGAGCTCACCCTGTCGCGGGGATTTGAACCGCCGACCTTCTGATCGGCAAGCCCTAGGCTCTGTGGTTTAACCCACAGTGCCACCCTGGATGCAAATCACTGCTCAGTTATGAGTAGATCATTCGGCTGGATCCAGACTAAGTTAGTAGCACTTAGGTCTCACTGAGATCAAGGAGGCTTAGCAATGGAAGGTGGGGGCATTCCAGAGAGGGGGGGGGCATAGAAAATGAGAGAGGAAACAACAAATGGTCTTACTCACTGGCATCTGCCTCCCCGCGAATGTATTTGTTAATTAAATTTGTATCTCAATCTTCCTCCCAAAGCAGCCAAGGGCAGCACACACTATTAATTTTTTTTAAAAAAAAACTTCAAAACAACAACACACAAACAAATCCAAAACAAATTTAACAATAGACACCAGTGAATTGTATATTTACAATAAATGTATACAAGCTTGTCTGTGCTCTTGTGCAGTTCCCATTCATTTTAGTGCGTCTCTTGACAGAAAAAAGATGTCCCTATTAATTGATTTCAGGTTTTTTGCAGTGGCAACCTTATTTCTGACTCATGGAAGTTTTCATTTTTTGCCCTGTGGAATTTTTCATCACTACACATTATGAATAATAATTGATAAATGCACAAATAATGTTCCAATCCAAGTTGCAATCTCAAGGTTGGATCGTAGGAGAATGGTCTGTTGAATGAAGATTCTGAACATGTTATACTCTGAATCTGTGAACAGGCACAGCCCCTTTTCATTTACCAAATCTGATTTATTATATGTGTACAAAATGTCCTTCTGGAACTCGTGATGGAATAATGGAAGTGGAATTGTAAACATAAAACCTGAAAAAAATATTTCCACAGCCACATAGCCAGGACTGAACAACTTTGTTAGCAGCCCTCGTTTGCTAAATCCCTAGACTGATTTAAATATTCTGTGGGGCCTGATAAAAAGAAATGTAATTTGTATAATATGTATCAGTATAGCAAATACAGAAGAGGGATATGGGCATTTCAGTAAGTAGTCACCAAGGCCTGCTTTTCATTTAACAGTGAAAACACACGCAGCACTCATGTGATTTAATTCCTTTTCTGAACTTCGATGGAAATATCTGGTTGGAATGAAGACATATCAACCAGCTCTGAAGCAGTGGCTCCACAAGTTCATGAGTCTGGCGTAGAGCGAGATCTTTGTGTACTGATCCATAAGATCAAGAAGCATTGTTTACCAGACTCCTGCTTAAGAAATTGCTGCCTTCAAAAACTTATTTATATGTTCTGCCACAAAAAAAAGTGGAAGGTTTGCTATTTTTCAAGTTGTTTATAATAGCTGGTTTGGTTGAAACTGTCAGCCAAGCAGCCTACTTGGTGATTGGTGGTTTCAGTTCCCCATTGCTTCCATCCTCTTTGGATTGATGCAAACCTTCATCTACATCACTCAGTGTCTCATCACACAACAGCTCCTGAAAGTAGCGCCTTTTGAAATAATGATGGGCAATGTGAAATCTCTGGCTTTTGACTTGTGTTGGTTGTTTCACCCATGCAAATCAGATGAAAATCTTGTCAAAAGAAAGAGAAAAGCATTCTCAAGGCACAAGAATTTGTGATATTTGCGGGTGTCTTCTCTGTGTACAGGATGGCATTCTTTACAAAACTAACCACGACCATTATTAACTTCCAGTTTTTTCTTGTTTTTGACAGGACCAGCCGTAAGGTACAGCCAGTTTGAAGTGTCTGAGCCCAAACCACCTCCTCTCGTTGGTCAGCACACATTGGATGTTCTGAAGGATACTCTGGGGTACAAGGATGATGCCCTAGAGGAACTGCTCAGCTCTGGAGCAATAGTTCAGCATGAACGCATGTGAATGGCTTTGGCTTTGGTTGTTGACGGAGAAGAAACTTCCTGGAATTCTACCAGGATCTCTTTAGTTTTCACAACCCATGATGGAGATGTGATTAAGTTCTTTGTATTTTTTAAATATAATCTGAAACACACCCTGCATTCAAGTATCAAGCTGCAAAGTTTTAAAATAATCGATTTTTCCTGCCTTTCATGCAGGCCGGGGACAGGTAGAGGTGCTGGTAACTATGAAATTCAGCATTTGGTATATTGCTGATAGACCAAAATAAAACCCACCATGCAATCCCACTGCCACATGTTCAGCAGTGCCTCTCTCTGGAAACACATGGATGAATTTCAGAAGATCTGAGTTCCATGCCAAAAGCTACTAATTGCATGGGTAAAGCCAGTAGAATCTAGGCCGTAATTAACAGCACGTGATACTCGAAAGCAAAACCACTTTCTGTATACAAAGCAATATGGCATTTCTTTAAGCACGGGGGGGGGGGGAATGATTGGTCAATCTTGCAGGCATATAATTTAGATCAAAAGTAGAATTCTGAACAAGAAGATTCCAAAACTTTTACTTCTGCTAAAGTAAGGCACTGCCTTCCTTCCCTGAAACTAAATAAAGCTAACCGAAACTGACACTCAACAAATAATGACCATATTTCACTCAAAGGATCGGAAACAGGCCTCCTGTTATAAGTGGCCTGTCACTTGGTTTCCAGTTTAACAAACAACATCCTCTGTGTTAAATCTGAACTTCACAACTATATCTTGCTTTCCGGGGGGGATGGGGGAGAGAAAGAAAGAAAATTATTACATAATTAAGTTTAAAAATGGATTTGCAATCGCCTTTGAAGTTGTGTGGCACGGCCTTCCTTTGTTGGCTTATTTTGTAAATCTTTGTGTTGTCTCATTTTCAGATTTCCTTCTAATCTTTTTTCCTCCTTGTACGTGTGCGTGTGAAATTACAGTCTCAGTACCAGAGTCAATACTTCTGTCCATATGCTAAATGCATCGTTATATTTTGGATCAAGTGATGGCTCTAAGCATCAGAAGATGCGTGCATGGGCAAGAGTCAGGAATCGGGATGCAGGGATGGGATTGGGAGGGGAAATTGCACAATTCCCCTTTAATTCAAGAATAGCAGCCAAGATTAAAGAGGAGAAACAATGCTGGGAACTTAGATACGGCGATTTGGTTGTAAACTAGGCACTGCTTTTGTTGAAAACAGTCGCTTTTAAACTCATATTTACAAATAGGCATGCTGTTTCTGCTTATTCTCTTTCTCATTTCAAGAACAGAATACATAAGATTTAAGATTAATTCAAAACCTCCTAAAGGAGCTTTGTTTTGTCCAGTAGTTTCCCAGGGAAAGGGCTAAGTGTCACCAAACCAATTCATGCAAACCCCATTGGCTTACTTAGTTTTTAATTCCATATTTAATTTTTGTTCCGCAAGGCTGCACACAAATAGGAAGTTCATTTTCTTATCCTTTGGGCTTGTTTGAACCTCAGGACCTAATAGCCGGTTTCCTCAGAAAAAGTCAGTGAGTTAAATGAGACTTGCTTTGTTAAATGCTTCATATCACAGTCTCGGAATGCTTTCAGGCATCTTTATCTGCAGGAAGCTATGTTGAGCTAGCACAAATTGTAGCCAGGCGCAGCAGAATGGTGATTGCACAGAATTCTGCTCAGCACAAACCAGCCTGACCTAGGATGACCGAGCTCTTTCCATGTCAGCAAGAGGCACTGTGCCCCAGGGTGTTCTGACTAGTTAACCAAGAGCAACCCAGGTCTACTACCACTGAGAGAAAGTGTTGAAATTGCTTAGAATCTGGGGCTGGGTTTACATGGGCAGCAAAATGAGATGGGAATGAACTGGTAGAAGAACAAGCAGAGGTTAGTCAAAGTTAGGGAGAGAGCACTTACTTATTATAATTAACACTTTACTGAAAATTTCCTTCTTCATGCATCAAACCTATAAATTCTTCTAAATGGACTATGCAAAACAAAAGCAGTAGCACACAATCTGCAGATCAACATGGAAGTAACTACAAAGATAAATTTTACTGGCTGGGTTGATGGGAGTTGTCACCCAAGATCAAATATAGTTCGTATAGAATAACACTGAACAGAGGACCTGTAAGAAGCTTTTATATTTTTTTAAAAAAATTGGTATTGGCATACAGAAGTGATGCATGATCAGATTTCAGATTGTTGCCCAACATGTGCCCAGTCTAATTGCCCCAGATGCCACTCGTGGGGAACCACAATTTCCAAAGCTTCCATTTACTGAAACTGGGCATAATCTTCTCAGCTGCTACATTGTGAAAGACTTCCAGAAATCATTTGGCCACAAATATTAGTTGAATCATATCATATACACACGATTTTTAAAAAATGTTGTGATAGTTTTCTATTATTTCAATTATCACCACACTACACTCAAAAATCCAAATTTTGAGAAAATGTGGAAACACACCATACAAAATGGATTAAAAAAAAAAACTACAGTGATACCTCGGGTTAAGTACTTAATTTGTTCTGGAGGTCCGTTCTTAACCTGAAACTGTTCTTAACCTGAAGCACCACTTTAGCTAATGGGGCCTCCCTCTGCTGCTGCGCCGCCACCCTGTGATTTCTGTTCTCATCCTGAAGCAAAGTTCTTAACCCGAGGTACTGTTTCTGGGTTAGCAGAGTCTGTAACATGAAGCGTATGTAACCCGAGGTACCACTGTATTAGTCTATTCCATAGTATTTGAAGTACCATTTGGATCGCAAAAATATGAAGCTGGCTTCTGAGACCACCATAAACCTACTGTGAAGTAGAGGTTATACTGAAAGGCATCCATCTCTTCATAAAAATCTGCAGGCCAAATTAAATCCAATCCAGGATTTGATTTCCTGACCTGTTGGGTTTTTTTCTTTGTTTGCAAAAAATCCCCAATTAAACAAACAATGAAACAATGACATTCTCCCCACGCAATTCCCTTGATAAAAAACTGCACATGCACCCAAAAGCTCATTTGCTGTGCTAGGGAAAATGGTTGCACTAAAGGGGCAAATCAAAGCTTGGCAGGTGGCAATCTTTTAGGTCACTTAAAAAGGGATGAAAACACCCACCTGGTGCAAAGTGACAACTGTCAGTTTGCAAGAGAGCTACCCAGCAGATCCTGCACCCTTCTTGGAGGCCAATAATTTCCTGGGTATTGGGTGTGGGGGGTGTTTGCAGATCCCACTGCTGACAAACTTTAAACTTGCATATGTGAAACCTTTGGCAAGAGAAAGGGACAGTTTGCACTGTGTAATCACTGCTTTGACAAACGTGACGCTCCCCTCCGCCCTGGCCATGAGAGGTATCTTCTTGTCATTAAATAAGAGCTTTGAATCCCCTCAAAGCAAATTTTGCTCTGGAGTCAAACCTCGAGAAAATCCAGTCTGGGAATAATCTCAATCTAATTGGAATGATATTTATTTATTTACTTATTTCTTCAAATTTATAACTCCCCTAAAAAGGTCCAGGGTAGCTTACAATAATAAAATTACATTAAAACAATTTCGAGCAACACTATAACACATCGCGGGCAGCAGTTGAACTCAGCAGTATGAGAAAGGCTTCTTTGTGCTGATGAAGAGAGAAGTTTGTTTGTCTCAAATTAAACCCAATATAATGAGATTATGCAGCAAAAGCAAGATCATACCTCTCATTGAGTTGGTATACGTACATAAGGTACATATGTAAGAGGATCGTTTATTGTGATTCCTGTTCTTATGTAACTGCCTTGTTTTATACTTTCTGGATGTCCCGTGATCATATTAAAAGTAGTTGCTTTCTATGTGATAAATCAAGCACTGCTAGGAGTTGTATTTCTTATCAATATATTGTATTTCCAATGTATTTCTTATCAATAAAAATCAATAAAAGAAAATTATTCTGAAAGTGTGGCCCAGAGGAAAAAAGTTTGAGAACCACTGGTCTAGAGAGAAAGTCTCCTGTATTCTTAGGTTCCTTAGTGCCTGGGGCACCTAATCCATTTTGGGGGCCCCTGAAGCTGGAACTGTTATGGGGGGGGTCCCTTCACAACCAGCAATGAGGTCTGGGTAACCTCTAACCTCTTCCATGGGCTTGTTCCACAACACATCACCACACCTTTACAATGTCTGTTCTACTGACTCTCAAACTTAGGGGATTGTTGAAATATATACCAAAAAAAATTTAACCAATTTGAATAATGTGACTCAAATGTGGTATACTAGACCCAAAAAGTTTAAGCAGTGTGGACTAAAATTGCTTCTGGGGCCCATCTGGGATTAGAGGCCCTCAAACTTAAGCTTTGTTAGTTTCATAGTGGATCCGCCTGTGACCTCTTCTAATGTAGAACTGTCACAAGAAAATATGCAAATCTGTAAGAAAATTGCACTCTAGCCATATTTATGAGTCTCTTACGTTTGTTACTAACGCCAGTAAAACACATGCAGGAACAATCAGGCAGTACTCACAGAAGTGGCCATTTGTGTAGGGTGGGTTGGCTTGTTGTGCATGTCTGCCAGGCTAGAACCAGAAACAGGACTTGCCTAAATCCCATGGTAGGCGACGCAATGTGAATTATGAACTTTCCCAATTCACGAGTGATCCGCAAACCAAAAATTATTTGCTGATTCTGCAAATAACTTAAAATAACGAATACATTGGAGAAGTCTGCGATCTGGTCTCAATCAGTTCTCAAGCACCAAAAAGGTGAAACTTGCCAGATAAATATTATGTTACTAATTATTCACCTAGCTGTGTTTTACACTTACGGGGCTCTTTTACAGATAATGTTTCAAAACCATTCACAAGGAATTCATTGCAAATATCTCACGGGTCACTGAGTTCCCTGAAAGCTGGGTCAGATATTCAAAGGAATACTGTGGAAACACTGAATCATGTACTTAATATTCCTACTACACTGCAGAGTTGCATAAAGAGGAAAAATTCAGCATAACCTTCAGGACATGCTATTTTTAGTTGTAAGAATGACCTTGGCATCTGCAATGAGGTGGGTGAGGCTATGAAGGAGAGGGCTATTGATGGCTACTAACCACCATGGCTATGCTCTGCCTCCACACTGGAAACCGCAGGTTTCCCGCAGGCTAATGGTCAGCTACTGTGAGGATGTGGGACTGGATGGGCCATCTTGGAATCCAGGAGGCTCTTCTCATGCTCATGTCATGACTGATCACACTGATTTCGATGAAAACTAAGCCCACCCAATGTATTTGTAAACATTTCTACCACTCACATTTTAAACATTTTTCAAGGTCTTTTGTATACCTCTTGATCTACTCAAAATGCCCAGGGTTTTAGCATCAAGTTGGCCAACTGCCATCTTTGTAAACTTAATCCCCCCTCCCTCCCTGTTCTGTCTTTTCCAGGCTGCTGTAGCAGAGACTTCTAACTCCTTTCATTTCCTTCAGTAGCCTTTTCCCATGGCTGACTGACACCTAGCCTGGAAATAAGCTAGGCGAGACAAAGCGTAGAATGCGGACCAAGTAATAGGATCCACAAGGAAACTGCAAAAAGAGTATATGAAAAGGACAGGGACAAAATTGGCTGCCTGGCCCGGCATTTTAACTCCACCCTGGCCTAGATGATATTCAAAGGGCTGAGATCTGTCATTTTGCATAGCTATCTAAATACCTAATCTTATATTCACTTTGTACTACCCGCTTTTGATTTAAAACAATTCCGCCCTCCAAAGTTTTATTGTTGAAGTAAGAAATTTGATGATTTGGAAGCGTTTACAGTGGAGCATATTTTGTGGTTATTGTTCTTGTGATGCGTCCAATACAAACCACTTTAGAAAAGCTCTGTTTTCTGCACTTTAAATCCACTTTTGCAGAATAGAGGTTTTCCAACTGGCTGAGGAGGTGGGCTTTCTACTTTTCATTTAATGGATTCTCTGTGAGGAATGTGGCTTTCATTATTTTATTACATTTTTATTCCACCC